GAAATGGGGTGGGTTCCCTCAGCCCAGCCTACACCTTCTCCAATCTGGGACCCCTTAAGGAATGTCTGACTGACAGGAATTGGGGCTAAGCCTGCAGTCAGACAGCCCTCTCACAATCCGGGACTGCTGGCTTCTAACCTCTCCTCTGCCTACCAACCTGATCAGCCCCCAACTGCCCTCCCCTAACAGCCATATTGTGGTGGCCATCTTGTGATGATGTCATGGAAGGGCATGAAGCCACGTAGGCTTTTATTATATAGGATTTTTAACAATTTATATCACATGTATGGTGCAGCTTTGTGTGCCTAATATTAAATATCAATCCCAAAACACTAGAACATTGTAATGTCTCTAGCCAAGTGTGATAAGGAATTGGGGCCCAGGCCAGTCCTCTCCCATTTTGACCTTCTTGTTTTGCACCACTTTGATCTACTTCTATATCTCTCATTGATTTAATCTCCTCTCTTAATGTCCAGACTTTTTCTCCAGCTCAGATACATTGTTGTAAGATTTCCCAGGCTCAATAGCTAAATTATCCCCAAGTTAAATTTGAGCGCACATAGATCATCACCAGTGTTTATGATATGTAAGAACATTTAGTTCTGTTTTCTTTTGTTTGTCTGAGTATTTTTAAATGTATCCACTGCTGGGGACGTTTTTTAAATGCTCTCCAGAAAAATGTCTGGCTCAAAATGTCCATGAATTCATGTCTTCAGCTGAAGTGGCAGAACTTTTAGAGTTCTGTAGCTTTAAATAAGCAAAGAAAAACTGCCATACTAGTTTTCTCTTTGAAAGCTCCATCCTACTAAGCACAAGCACTTTTTTTCATGGTTGTGTCCTTATTAATCTTTTTTCTTCCAACCACCCAAAATACTGCAAGTATTTGAGAACGTCATGTCCAATTGTTCATGGCTCATTCAAACAAGCGTTCTGCTTCTTTCATTCAGAATTGTCAGGAATAACTTAGTTCTTTTTTCCCCTCCACATTTCAAAATTTTGGTAAGAACATTTAACATGAGATACGCCTTCATAACAACATTTTAAGTGAACAATACAGTATTGTTAACCATAGGCACCATGCTGTACAGCGATCTCTAGAATTCATTCATCTTCCATAACTAAATCTCCATACCCATTTCACAACATCCCCCATTGCAGCCTTCCTCCAACCCCTGGCAACAAATATTCTACTCAGCTTCTGTGAGGTTGACCATTAGGAAACATCATGTTTAAGTACAATCATGCAATACTTGTACTTCTATGATGGCCTTATTTACTAGTAACTTAGTAAAATGTACTCTAGGTTCACCTGGCTTTTTGTTATCTTTTATTTTTCCATCCTATGGAAGAAAAGGAAAGTTCAGAATCTATGGGTCTTAATGTTTGTCTACAAATGGCTTACCTTGCTAAACATTTGCATTTGCCCATACTTTATGCAGGTCTCCTATAGGGCATCTCTTTGGGTTAAATGCTCACCTGTTCCTCCCTAAGTTATTTTCAAAAACTAAATTATTGCTTGGGGCAAAGGACTAAGATGGAAAAGGTTAAAAGCAAACAAACAAACAAACCTGGATATGGCCCAGTATAAATGACAACTTGAAATAATTCGCAAACCAAGGATGACTAGAATTTAAATATTTTATTTTCTCTAGCTGCCTATTTCATTCAATGTGTAAGACAACAAACATTCCAATAAATGTCATTCAGTTAAAGTGTCATTGGATTTACACCAGTAAAACAGGAGCATTTTACCCTTATATTTAAATCTATAATAAATTGTGAAAGTGTATACTAATAGTTGAAAATCCTGATCAAGCAAACCTCAACCAAGACAACTTCTCATGATTGGTGTTTACCCTGTTGGTTGAGTTCCCACTGTGAAGTCTACCAAGAATAACAGGACCATTGATTAAATCCCTTTCTGTCAGGCCTTTCACTGAAATTTAATTATGTTGCTTTTTGTCTGCAATCTTTCCCTAAGGTTTCTGTGATGTTAGAATGCTTCCTTTAAGTGTTATGAAAAGCGCATTAGAGGTTTTTCCCTCTGATTATTTCATAACATAACATAGCCATTCCCTCTGCCAGCAAGGCCACACAACTGTTTCCAATAAATGAAACCGTTTTCTTTTCTTTCTTTCTTTCTTTCTTTCTATTTTTTTTTTTTTTTTACATTTTACAAAGTGTAGATTAAACATTAATTAGTTGTAGGTGAGTTGCAACATTTTCCTTCAAGAGTGAATTTCTCACAGCTAGTTCTCAAACAACACAAATAAGATCCTATAACGTGTGAACAATGGCATAGCTTTAGGCTTCAGAAAGGGCAAGGATGCTTGGTGAAGTCAATCTTAAACTGTTTTGCAATGATTTCATGCTGAGCAATTATTTCTCTATTTCTTAAATGATGGGAGTTTCAAAGGCATGAGGGAGTATATATTTTTATAGTTAGAAAAATCTTATTAAATGGGCATGGCTTTCTGGATTTCTTTCCTTCCTCTTCTTCAAACTCATAAAATTGAAAGAGGCCAACCCAAATGTGAACTAACCACAGTAGCTTCTATGCCTTATGGTCATCAGTGTCAAATCTTGTCATTTTTGTTTACTATTACCGGCTGTCACAGGCTCAATATCTCCAAAAATAATTGAAAATGAAAACAAACTTTTGTCTATGTCCTTTTTCTCCCCAGTCATGTGTCAGCCTGGGAAAATGCTCTTTTTGAAAAGAAAGCGGAGCTGACATATAATTGTTGCTTTTACCCCAGCTGTTCCTGACATTACAAGCTGAACCTTCCTTGGAGACCGAAAACCAATTTTGATGTGACACTCTGAAAAGTCACCACCGGTCCTTTACAAATAGTTCAAGGTCAGAGAAATCTCTCCCGAGACACTCTCAGGTAAACCTCTGGAGGACTTTTCTTTCTTGAGGAAAACTGTGTTTGTATTGATTTTGCAAATTGTAGATTTAAAGTCTAACAAAGGATAAAATATCAAGAGAAGAAGAAGAAAAACAACAACAACTAAGTACAAAATCAATGCTTTTGCTTTGAAATTTTTAAAAGCAATCCCATACAAGTAGTATTATGAAAAGAGAAGTTAAAATTTTCATGTTTAACTTTGAAATCTATACATAAGGATAAACAAATTTAAATGATATCCTATTAATGAAACATTTGGTAAATGATTTAACTTTTAATACTTAAGTATAATTTTATTTTTTTTATTTTAAAAAGTCTAGTCAATTAGAATATCCTATCCATTACACAGGTATTTGAATTTGAATTTTATTGTTTCTATATTATAACTTTCATCAGCAATGTTCTAATCACAGCCAGTTTTTTACTGTCATCAGCTCAATATGTTATACTGTGGGAGTTTCATTTCGGTTAGTAATTCCTGGGATAAAGTAAACTGCTCACATTTCGTTTTTGCTCTTTGAATCCTCTTATCCAAGCTGAAATATATATTTTAGTTACTGAAACTTCGTCAGCCAATTCTCTAAGGAACCTTAATTTTATTAACATAACGAAGTATCAAGACCTCATGACCATATCTATTTTATAAAAACCCAGTGGCCCTAACATTGTAATGACCAGAGTCCTGTCAGTAGGAGGCTGCGTGCGCAGCAAGGTGCTCGTGGGTGGGCGGGGCTGGGTGCACAGCGAGACCTGCTGGGTGGGCAGGGACTTGACTGAGTCCTGCGGGCCGCCAGGTCTGGTTCTTGCACAATTTCACACGTTTATAAGCTTGCTGACCTTCTAAGTAACACTGGCTAATAACCAAAATGATTAGCCTGAACTCAAAAATTGAACTAAACTAGCCTCATGCTCATGCTATAGTCCTGTTAATTCTGTTCCTTTGTTCTCTTGTTTCAATACACTAGGAAATTTATACTTATACACATGGGTTGAGCTGGTAAATCAATTTCTGAACAAAATGACACTAGGAAAAAACAAACATTTGGGAGATAATGGACTCTTATCTATGTTCTCTTTTATAGCCATCTTTTCATAACATTCTCATTGTTAGAGCTTTAGGGCAAGAAGCAACACATTTAATTTGTGGTTTTCCATTCACATTCACATTACTGCTATTTCAGAGAGAGAGCCATTTTTTACATGTGAAGTAACTTTCTTTTATCCTAAATAGAAATAGGCACATGAGTAGATAGATAGGTAGCTAGATAACAGATAGATGATAGAAAGATGAAAAGATAGATAGATAGGTAGATAGATAGATAGATAGATAGATAGATGATAGATAGATGAGGTTTCTCACAACTACTCCAAGAAACAAGGGTCATAACCAGAATTTATGATGATTGGATCCATAAAGAAATAATGACAAATACTATTCAACTTAATATGTTTATGAAAGGCAGAATATAAAAAATCATTATATTTGCATTGCTATAAGAAATAAATGATTAAAAGTTATTTAACTTACACACATTTAATGTTTTTGTAATTATGATTGTTTATCACTTCTTATCTGCAACCTAAAAAGTTTTATAATTCCAAATAAACAAATGAAGAAACCGACCACTTAAAAATGAAATGAAATTATTTGTCCAAGTTCTTATGGGGACAGGTAGTAAGTGAAAGATCTGGAATTTGCACCATGGTCTAGTGGAGCTATAAATCTATAGTTGGTACATTAGACCCATCTAATACACAAAAGAAAATGATGATTATACAAATCACTTTATTAATGACCAAGACATGATCATTTTAATTTGAGATGTAAATAATACTACATAAATTTCCAACTGTATCATTTTCATCAGAGAAGCATTTAAGAGAAAATACTAGCTTTATTAGAAACTTTAAGTCAAGGTAAGGAGCATGAGACATGAACTTGAGGCAAAGTAAAATCCAGGTGAATAGAACAATGGGAGACACATAATCTTGCTGACCATTCTTTTCTTTTCTTTTCTTTTCTTTTCTTTTCTTTTCTTTTCTTTTCTTTTCTTTTCTTTTCTTTTCTTTTCTTTTCTTTTCTTTTATGTATAGAGAGAATGCTTAGTGAGTTTGAGTAACATCCTTGTGCAAGGGGCCATGCCAATCTTCTCTGTATGGTTCCAGTTTTATATGAGCTGCCATATTTGAGAGCATCTTTCATCATTTTTGACCCATAACTTACCATCCCATTAGTTTAGAGTACAGTATAAAATGTCACATTTTGGTTAAATTATATATATGTAAATTAATTAGGTTGGTATGATTGCTTTTTATTACAATAGTTTTTTATTGGAAGATTAAATTATTGTTTTTGAATGAGGTATCTTTATGTTATCATTTAAGATTGGAAATAGAGTGAGTGTTAAGGTTAGTCTTAGAATTAGAGGGTAAAGAGTGTTAAGGAAGGAAAATTAGGAGGTGGTTGTAATAGCTCAGGCAATATGTAAAATGGGTCTGACCAAAAATGTTTGGTTGTGGAGAGAAAAATAAATAATTTTAGTTTGGTTCAAGGTACTTAATAAATGTGATGTTGAGCATTAAGGATATTGATGGTGATAATAACGAATGGGGAATTCAAATGTGTGGATGATTTTTTTTTTTTTTGAATTGGAGAATTCAGTCATTCTTTTGTCTGTTTCTTTTTGTTTTTATTTTCCTTTCCATTATCTTTTTAGGGAGAGTGGAAAAGAGAAAGAAAGACAGGAAGAAACATCAGTGTGAGAGAAACACATCGATTGGTTGCTTCCTGCATGCACCCCAGCCAGGGCCCGAGCTGGAGAGGAGCCTGCAACCAAGGCACATACCCTGGACTGGAATCAAACCTGGACCCTTTGGTTTGCCAGCCAATGCTCTATCCATTGAGCCAAACCAAGGAGGGTGGGTTATTCTTCTATATTGCTCATGATATTCAAAATATTTCTTGTCCTTCATATGCATTTCAAAATATCATTGATTCTATTATATAATTACTAGAGGCCCAATGCATAAAATTCGTGCAAGGAGTTCAGCCCCTGCTGCTGCAGCTTCATTTAGAAGGTCGTCCAGAAGGACATCTGCTCTAATTAGCATATTATTACACTTTTATTATTATAGATTATAAACAGTCATATATAAGAACACCATAAATAAAGTAATAAAGTAGATAAATAAGAATTCTTGTCAATTATAAATTTTAATCTCAAGTCTAGGTAAAAATTAGGAGGAATATACCCTAATAAAGGCATAATTGCTTTCCACAGAAAAAAAGGAGATAATGTAACAATACATGTCTATTTTGAGAGTTAAAAGAGATAATAAAGATAAAAAAATATATAGCATGATGCCTTCTAGGAAAAGTTGCTTAACAATTGTTTAATTTCTTTCTCCCTTTCTTGTACTGTGAAGGTCACATTTTTATTTACATTAGGGGTTCCAAAAACTTCTTGTAAAGGCTCAGTGTCCCTAAGGGTTAATTCAGATCGTTGTAATAGAATACCACAGACCAGAGGGTTTATAAGCTACAGAAATGTGTTTCTTATAGTCCTGGAATCTAAAATTTTGAGATCAGGGTACCAGCATGATAGGGTTTCCATGAGGAACCTGCTCTGGGTTGCAGATTGCTGAGAAGAGGGAAAAACACCTTTCTGGAGTCCCTTTTATAAGGGCACTGGGCACTAATCCCATTCATGAGGGTTCTATGCTCAGGACTTAATCACCTCCAAAAGGCCCCACTTCTTAATAGCATCATGTTGGATGTTAGGATTTCAATAAAAGAATTTTAATGAACAAAATATTCAGTCTATTGCATGCAGACAGTAAAGATGTTGTAGCGCAAAATCATCTATACGTAATGCATAATACATAAACAAATGTGTGTGTATTCTAATAAAACTTTGTGTTAAACAGGAAGCATGTTGGATTTGGCTTATGGGTAGAATTTTGCCAAATCCTAACCTATAGTTAGATTTCATGGGCAAGTGAAGCTATCCTTATGTAATTCATTCATAGGTAATGGAAGGATGATGCATGCATCCAGTAATAGCATCTTACAACTTAGGAAATCTATTTTATCATCCACTTTTTGCTTTATATTAAATATTAATAATTGAATTTATGTCATAGAACTTAAATTCTAGGTGAAAAACTTAAAATAATTAATTTTTTTTACATAGACTGTGGCTCCTCAGAATAAAGCACTTGGATTGACCTGGGAGACTTGAGAGGATTCTCAGAAAAGTTGAAACCTGACTTATGTTTTTGTTGTTTTGTTTTGTTTACTTGTTTTCAATCCTTTTATTGATTTTTTAGGGAGAGGGAGGAAGAGATTGAATCATGGATGAGAGAAATGTTGATTAGCTGCCTCTTGTACATCCTTTTCTGGGGATTGAGCCCGCAACCTCAGCATGTGCCCTGACTGGTAATGGACCTTATAGGTAGCTACTGAACCACTGAGCCACACCAGCTGAGCATAACCTGACTTATGTTTTAAAGAATAATTCTGAGATCAGGACAGTGAAGAGAAAAATAAGAAAATTTCAGGCATAAAAAAACAGTATGTGAAAAATCATGAAGGCATTTAATGCTACAGTATGTTGAGAGAACAATGGGAATTTTAACAGGGATACACAACCAATGTAAGAGATTTGATGGAGATGTAAATGTACCTTTAAAGAGATTATGAATAAATTTTTGAATAGAATTTTGTATATAGTCCTGGGATTCAATAGGGAGGAAGCAGAAATTGCAGAGGTCATCCACTTGCTCCCCTAATATTTCTTCTTTTTCCCTTTAGGCAGAGGATAATATTGCAAGTCCCCACCACCTTCAACTTAGATGTGGCCGCATGATGACTGGTTGACCAAGTCATAAGCAGAAATGGCACTAGTCACTTCAGGGTAGAACTTCAAGAACCAGGTTGTAAATTCCGTGATCTCTTTCTTTTTCCAGGGCAATCATGGAATCACAGAAGGGAGAGGGAGCCTGGGTCCTTGAATGAGGATGATGTAAAGCAGGACACCTCACCAACCTGTCACAGTTGTCTAGTGGGAGAGAGAAGTTAACCCCCCCTTTTTTTTTGTCAGGCCACTAGGATATTTTAAGCCTGAGTTGTTATCTTTTCTTATCATAGGCTCCCTCTTCTCAAATAAACGTCTTTAAACAATGAATTCAAATAACTGCCTAAGTCATTTAATGGCCATATGACTTGTGATTCAGTATATCTGCATTAAAATTTGTATAATACAGTTTTTTTTTAACATTTAAAAATTATTTTATACTAAAAAATAAAAAGAAAAAAAATTCCAAAATATTGGCAATCTGAAGCTCCTATCCTAGATAATTCATCAAATTTGCTGAATTTGGCCCTAACTGGTTTGGCTTAGTGGATAGAGTGTTGGCCTACAAACTCAAGTGTCCCAGGTTCAATTCAGGTCAAGGGGATGTACTTTGGTTGAGGGCACATACTCAGTAAGGAGTGTGCAGGAGGCAGCTGATTGATGTTTCTCTCTCATTGATGTTTCTAACTATCTTTCTCCCTTCCTCTCTGTAAAAAATAAAAAATAAAAAATCAATAAAATATGTATTTTTTAAATTTGCTGAATTTGGCCAAAATGAGGTAATGAACTATATATGTTGTTGCATGTGACTACAAATGTAAACAAACGATGAAGTTATCAAATGTATATTGAACTAAAATTGAAAAATATGCAGGCATGTTTTTCTTTCTTTGTTCATTAAAAAAATCATTATATGCTAGAGTGATATAACTAAAACTGTCATTTTTGCAGATATATCCAATTTTATAAATTTTAAATAAGGTATATTTTTAGTACGAGTAACATGGTCAATCTCTTCTTTGCTGTGCGAGTGAAATCTTCAAGCTTGGCCATGTGTGTCATAGCTTAGAGATTCTAAGGAACGGGTGACATAAAAATTGGTTGCTTTAATTTATGCACTCATATTATGAAACGTAATAGTGCATCAAACATTTTATACATTGTAAATCTAACTCCCTATTGTTTTTAAAAGTTCTGCAACTGAAGAAAATAAGCCCAGATCAACGTATTAAATTATATTTACGCTGATTGGCATGAGCAGATGCAACTCCATTCTTTCTTCCCACCAGTGGTACGAGAGGCCACATCTCTGAGGGAAATTGAATTCTCTGCACCTCAAACTGACACATTCCATTTGGTTCCCGAAAATGATTTGCCTAAGCAGTTATGAGTATGACACAGTTAATTTAGCAAACACAATGGTTTATTCAACAACATTAGCCTTGTATGAAAATATCATCACCAGTTTTTTAAAGTAAATATTCTAAGATGTAAATATAAGAAAACTTAGACACTGTTTGACACTGAAATAGAAAAAAATCCAAATAATAAAATTATATATATATATATATATATATATATATATATATATATATATATATACATGTAATATATATGTTACACACACAATGAGTAAAGAGTAAGAAAAGGGTGTCCATGTTTTTCGATATAATATATTTGCTTTATATTATGCAGAAATAGACCTTGACAGTCAAAGGCCAGTTGGACTTTAGTCTTAACTGTAGGAAGACAATATCTTCATAAAATATTAGAAAAAAATTGAAACACCTTAACATGGCCTCCATGACTCTACATAAACTCATCACTTTCTGAATTAATTTCATGCCATTCTCTCTTTATTTATTTTTATTAAATTGCATTGGTTTTCTTTCTGTGCCCTTTAGAAACTAACTTTCAGTCCCACCTGTGGGCCTTTTCACTTGCTATTGTCTATAATATTTTCATAATTGACACATTCTGAAGTAATCCAGACTGATTACTTCAGAATGTGTATTATATTGAAAGCATTAAGCCAATCAACTATACAGACCTTTCACTGTTTTGTAATGACCATATATATTTATATGTGTTTATTATCTTTATCATCAATATTTCCATTTGAACACTTTTGGAAAAGAGAGTACCAAAAGGCTTGGTATACTATATCTAAATGTATGTCTTTAACTTATTATAAATAATTTTTAATATTTAATATTTAATATTTACCTTGGGTTATATGTCACTAAGGTTAGGTGGGGGGATTAATCTCTTCCATTCTTGGCATTTTATTCTCAGCTCTAATTTGACATTGAATGGGTTGTCTTTGATCACTCAGAA